CATTAATAAGATTGTACAAACTTACACTTTTCTTCATTATATATTTGCTAGAGAATGAACATACATGTAATTATTATGCAAAAGTACACAAGATAATCTGTTGTTTGCAATTCAGTTTAACACTCTTAGAACCTCAACAATATTAGAGACAATAAACACTGAAACTTAATTATAAATTTAAAGAGCTTAAAACTGAGAAGGCTTAGAAGAATTTCTAAAAGTATTCCCATTAATTACTGAAGGAAAAACCAAATGCTATTGATGTCTTATAAATTTAAAATTAGAATAGGATTGAGGCAATTGATCAAATTTTATCATACATGACTGACATAGGCTTGTTTTTTCAAAATGCATTCAATGTCTACTGTATGCCTACCATGACACTTTCCTCATGATCTTTCCAGCTGTAGGGGAGAAGGAATGATAAGAAACAACTCATTTCTGCTCACAGTCTTATGCACTGAGAAAGAATGTGTGCAAGACATATTAACCTCCATCTTATGTATAATTACCACAAAATGATGGGAAAAACCTGTGTTTAACAATATATTTCAAACACAGCACTAACAACAATATAGTACTGTTAGCAAAACAGATCTCAACTCTATTTGTGGGATCTAATACACTCTGACTCAATTGCTTCAAATGTTCTAAAATATTTCCAACTTGGGACACATTGAAATATTATGTTATTTGTAAGGATGGGTGTAGTGAATTCATGCTGATTACATTAGTCTTAACTAATGCTGATATGCAGATTAAAAACATGAAAAAAGTATAGCTTATTGGTAAGAGTGTAGACTTTTTAGTTGGACAGATTGTATTAAAATGCGTATTACTTGTCTGAGACAAGCAGAAATGGTCAGATAAGTTGATTTTAGATGAAATGAACCCCGGGATAAGGACTCAAATGTTGTTTTTTTTCTTTCTTGCTATTATTTATAACATATTTATAAGATATTTCTTTGTTGCTTTGTATGTCCCTCCCCCATGGTATAATCCCTGTTTTCACTGTATTTGATGTTGGTATAATTTGTGGAGGGGAAGGGAAAAAACAAATGATTTAAATTGGGATACAAGTAGACTTATTGCAACAAGGAGATGTACAAGTCGTTATGTCAAAAAATGAACTTTACAACTTTGGCTGGGGGAGAGGGGTGGTGGGGAGGGGGGGAGAAGGTAAGGGATGGGAAGGGGAAAAAAAGGAGGAGAGAACAATGCTTGATAAGAAATGTACTCATTACATTGCCCATGTAATTGTAGTCCATCTGTACGGTATTTTCACAATAAATAAAAAAGAAAACATTATACAGCCAAAAATAAATAAATAAAATAAAATAAATGCATATTACTCACCTTCTTGATATTGGTTTCCTACCCTAAAACCAAGAGATAGTCTTACAAAGCAATATTTTCTTTTGAATATATTTCATACGTATAGCACATGAGGGACTCTGGAAAGATTAAATTCCCATTCTATTTGATTTACATCATTGTCCTTAAAAAATCACATGCATTTCTTGAAGTAGGAAAATTAACAACAATTATAGGCTGAGATAGTAAGGGTTTTCTAAAACAAAGATGTCAGTAATATACTTTGGGATATAAATTGAATGAGCTTGGACTCACTAATTCACAAGTTTTTGTGAGCCCAAAGGCTGAACTAAGATTACTGGGCAGTCTTCACCTATGTTCTCAGCAGGTGCCTAGAATGTCTGGGGCTTTATATAATATAGTCATTTCTTGCTCCCTGTTTCTCAGTGCATATCAGGTCTTGTACCCATCTGCCAAGATGAGCCAGTCCTTTCTAGTTGATTTCCCCAAACATATTTCTCAAGTACTTGTAGTTAGTAGGATTTCATATACAGCTGATATACCTGTGAAGACAATTCATGTAGTTTCTGTACAAGTCTTGACACTGAATTTGTGATATCACCAGCAATTCACATATCAAAGCAGTTATAATTATGTATACTTATTCCTCTTTTTCCACTGGGAGAGTTCAATTTCAGTTCTTTTTAATTTTTTTCTCTATTTCTCATGGAATTCTGTAAATATATGTGAGCAGGGACATGATTTATTTCATTTTTTTATATTGATTATTCCAATCTCTTAGGGAAAGCAGAAACAGATTCATCTTTTCTGGTTTCAATAGTTATTTTTCTCTCTTAGGTATAACCCCTTAAAACAGATTTCCTTCATGTTCAGTATTTTTAGAGATATTATTGAATTCTACTTTGTATAAAAGAAAACAGCAAAATAAGTCAGAAGAAAATAAGTGATTACTGAGAAAGAACATAAGAGTTTGAATTTGTAGATTGTTTATATCTTTTAACAATGAAAGAATATGTTTCAAATTGCTCTAAAAATGGTCAGAAGATGAATACTTTGTTCTGTCTCAAATATTGGCAATGTACCACTCCAACAGCAGGTGTTAGATAATTTAATTGGTGTCTGCTGTATGTTTTGAAACTGCCAACTCATAGAAATACATTTTAAAAATGCTTCCTATACTATACATTTGAGGTTCATCTCAAGATGTCATTGGATATATCTGGTTAGCAAAATGGTTACTGTGATAAAAAGATTAATTAAGCCATCTATCACTTCACATAATTACTATTCTGTAATAGGAGATGCTAAAATTTACTTATTTAATAGTCATTTATAGAAGATGCTAATTTACTTATTTAGAATAGAAGCTAATTTCCACATATCTAGAATCTTACTAATTATAACTCCTTAATATTATTTTATCAGCCTTATTCTTCACATTGTACATTAGATTGCTAGACTTGTCCATCCTCCTTAATCATTATGGAGATATCTGAAGTAAAATCACAACTCCCTGATTTCTTTTTAAGAGCCAGATGTAGCTGGGCATCCAGTGGTTCATGCCTGTAATCCTAGTTACTCAGTAGGCTGAGATCTGAAGATTGGGGTTCAAAGCCAACCAGGGCAGAAAAGTCCCCTAGTGACAATACGTATCTCCAAAATAACCACTCAAAAACCAGAAATAATTCTGTGGCTCAAGTGGGAGAATGCTAGCCCTGAACAAAAGAGCTCAGGGACAGCTTCTCTGCCCTGAGATCCAGCTCCGCAACCACCACCACCAACAACAAAAAAGCCAGCTATATCAGAAAGTGTAGGCCTGGGCACTAACAGAGTTTTCACAGTGTTTCCCTTCCCGTGAGAATCTTCATTGAACTTTACAGGGATTGGATTTAAACTAAAAAGGGAGTATTATTTTGTCTTCAAAGTTCATGGAGGAAGGATACACAGGTAAGGTTGTTCTCAGATGAGACCATATTATGTAGCTCTTCTTGGCTGCAGTTTAGTGATGTCCTATTGCACCACTCAAGTAACAGTATGAGATTTTTCCTGCTGTGAAGCCTTGCTAAATCTTTCCCTCATACTCTAGAGGCTCACAATTGCCTTCCTTGAATAGACTTGTTTGGAGCAGCCTTAACCAGTTATTTCATGTTGTCACTGTTCTTGTGTTCAACCCATCTGTCATCTTTTCTGTCTCAACTGTAAACAGTTGCTTCTTTCTGAAGTAATTTCCATGACTCTGTAATTCACTTTTCATAGCTTAATTTTCATAGACCATCAACACTTATTTTCATAGATTTCACATTCCTTTTCTAATATATAATTCCTAAATTCCTTTTTAATGAATTTTCTTTTATAAATGTTTTCCAATCACTACAGTTAAACAAAATTAAAGACTCAATTAGAGAAAGCTTTATTTATATTATGTGGTTATTCTTTATCTCCCAGGCAGAACTTTTCCTTTCTTCTACTAGAATCTTTCATTTTCACAGTCTCCACTCTGGATTCTACCCTAGTTCAATTAGCTGATTCTAGAAAGAAAGAAAATAGACCAAGATGCAGAATAAAAGGTTTATTTGGGATAGGAAAGCCTGAGGTAGAAAAAGGGATAAACGAGAGCAAGATTAGGATAAGCCTTCAGACTGTGATATAGCCTGTCCTTTCCAAAAGAAGAAAAGAAAGAATAGTGAGCAGAAAAAGCCTCAGACTGTAAGCATTTTTTAAGAGCATTTAATCTTTACCAGAACAGAGATCTAGGCCAGGACTGGCCCAGCTTGACAAGCAAGTTGTGCTTAGTCACACTGCCTAGGGAGATTGGCCTGGAATGAACACTGTTACGGAAGATCTCATGCTGCAGAAGCTAGAAGTTGTCAGCTGACTACAGTGCTGGCATCTGCTCTCTCCAAGGGAGATGTGAACTCAAAAATCTACTTCCTGACACGGGATCTAATCACTCTATGGAGTTTACTCTCTCAAACCCTAAAAATAACTATTTACTCCTCTTCTTCAAACGCACAACTTTTCATAAGTTACTACTTTCAGTGGAAAAATATGTTTCTCCAGAGGCATGTTCCAACTTTGTTCCTAAAGAGTCTAAAAGATGACTGCAAGCTGGTATTTGCTTCATTCCAACTCAGTTCCTAAAGACTCCAAAAGATGACTGCCAGCTGGTATTTGCTTCATTTATTCTATGTGCTTAAAGGTAGATGCTATTTGCAAGGTAGGGTTGATAGCTGCTTTATTGTTTATAATTTCAGAAGTTTACATTCAATATTACATTTTCAAAATATATAGATGTCCCGTAATTCCGAAGCTCTGATAATAATTAAGGTTTTTTTTGTGTGTATACATTATGTAGTCAACACTGTTGTGAATAGTTTATATGTATAAACTCTTTCATCTGTAGCACAACTGCAAAAGATAAATTATACTAATATTGATATTTAAGAGCAGAGGAAACTGGGATGATACAGATGCTAAATAAATCCCCCCAAATCACATTGCAAAAAAGTAATGAAACCCACATTAATCCCAGGACTGTGGTCTTCAGAGTTCATGCAATCACTATTTTCCTGAACATGCTTTTTATATAACTGTCAGTTGCAAAATGTTGAACTAGACCTACTTTCAAGCATATTCTTCGCATTGAATTTTTCCTATTCTTTTAGGTCCTTGCAGCCCAAACCCATGCCATAACGGAGGAACCTGCGAAATAAGTGAAGCTTACCGTGGCGACACATTCATAGGCTATGTTTGTAAATGTCCCCATGGCTTTAATGGGATTCACTGTCAGCACAGTAAGTAACTTCTTTTCAGTATACATTGGTTATTGTTGATGCAATATGTACATGTCATCATCATTCTGGTTTGTAGTTGCACCACAGAATCATGGAACAACATAGTGCCATGATATTTGGCTATTCTAATCCCTCTGAATCTATCAAGCTCTCAACACTGAGATCCAGTCCTTCCAGTGGTGGCAGCTATGGCTGTCTCATTGTTCAGAAGCTACATGTTGTAATACCTTGGCTGGTCATTACTGTTCAGGTAGACTTGTAAAATGTTACTCTTGATATTAAATTGACATTTGTCTTTCTCTTTCACACATATCCTAAAGCTATGTTATCTCTTGTCATAGAAATTATTCTGGCCATTAGGATCAGAAATGATACCCCCAAAATAAAGAGCACTAATTGTCTGTCCCATTGCCCTCTCTGGGAGCCAGCTTTCTAATTCTTGCTTGGCATTTTGGAGAGAAACTCTTTAAAAGTTCGTGTGAGTTTCTCGTTTTTGCCCTCATTCTTACTTCCCCTGGAAAGGTTAATAAGTCCACATGTGATGATTTCATTTTAGAATTAAGGCTGAATATAAATGCTAAATGAGTGACATGGGACCTTAAATGTTGTGGGACCCCAGGAGGCAGGGAGGGCATAGTGAATTCTGTGGTGTTAGAGAAAGCTTTTAGAGAAGTGGCCATGTGCAGGCTGAATATTAAGGGAGTATGAGAGGTTGATCACAAGGAGGGAAACAGCATGTGGTAGGAAGGATGAAGAGAGAATATATGAGCCATGAATACTAAAGGGATACTTAAGACAATCATGTTTGGAATGAGTAGGGCAAATGTACATATGTCAGCGAAGGCCAGATTTCCAATCACCAACATCAAATACAGTGTTCTCTAGCCTTGGGACTTCAGCAGTATCTTGTACTTTTCCGGAGGCTTTACAGGCTAAGTGTTTTCAGATTTCTAGAGAAGCGTATAATAGTACATGAACACTTGTGCTCCTCAAAACTGGCTCTGAACCTGCTGGGTTCTAAAGATCATATAATCAACAAACAAATGTGAAACTATGGACTTTTTTCAGACCTTGTCCATAAGTTATTTGTTTTCCTTCAAGGAAGCATCATTGCTTGATATCCAGATATAAATATCTTGAAACACCTCGAGAAAGACTAAGATGGGAACCCAACATCTTGAGCGCCTTGTTGCCTGGCTAATTTGTGAAAAGTAAACCATCAATCTTTATTCAATTGCATAACTGGAGATATGTCCGATGTAGTGCCAGTGGATAATAGTTTGTCTACCCCACTCAACTCTATTCTTAAATATTTGTCTAAAGTGCATGCAGAGAAAGAGAGAGAGAGAGAGAGAGGCTTCTTCAGAAATAGGAGCCAAATATCAACTATCATGATGGACTGTTGATAATGTGTCAGAGACAGGGATCATACTCAAGATCAAGACACCTCATCAGTTTCTTCATTCCTTAGTGCACAGCTTCATGTGGGAAAAACTAACCAAATACAGATACAGATTGGTATTGTTAGAGGAAATCCTTAAAAAGCTTAGAACAATATTTGTAAAACCTGTGTAGGCCCTTAATTTCACTTAATGGTACACATTAATTAGGCTCCCACATGGACCAACTGTGAAGCCAGTATGAAGTTGGCACCTTCCCTTAAGACAGATTGGAAAATGCCAAGTCTTGATTTCATCCATGCAGTGGTACATCTTTTCACATTTCTAGGGTTTGTGGCCTCAATATTGTAAATGTCAGCTTAAGTTCAGTTATCATCAGTGATTTGAAAGTCACACCCTAGACATTAGGTGATTTTTTCCCCCAGTATGAGTGAGATGTATCTTGGATTTTGTTATTATGGAAGCTTCTTCCTTCCTCTGATTCCCACTCATGTTTGCCCACAAATTATATTAAGAAGACTATGATCACGCCTGGGATCATAGCTAATCAGAGGGATGAGATCTAGGGATCACAGTTGGAAGCCAGCGCAGGCAGGAATGTCCTGAGAACCACCAGAAAACCAGAAGTGGCGCTGTAGCTCAGTGGTAGAGGGCTAGCCTTGAGCTGAAGAGCTGAGGGAGAGTGCCCAGGATCTCAGTTCAAACCCCACATTAAAAAGCAAGCAGACAAACAAAACAAAAAGCAGAAAATAAAAAAAGAAATAGAAAGATAATAGAAGATTATGTGGGTTGGAAAAGTAGCACAAATCATCTCGTCCTCATTCTCCATGATGGAACATGTTAAATTTAAAGTCTTACATTGAAGCACAAATATGCCCTCTCCTTGCTGCAACTGACAAGACCTTTATACATGTTAAAATCACAACAGGAAGTCTGAATCTGAGAGATACAATTCAAAATTAGAACCTAATATTTAAATAACTTTTTTTCCTGTAATGTGAAGATAGTCTTTATTAGCAGTAAGAGAGAAAGAAAGGAAAAGGGTGGGATTTGGGAACAGAAATCTGGATTTGAGACATGACCCTTACCGTTATTGAATAAATGTCCTTGATCCAGACATTTGGCCTTCCTGCAATTGAAGATTTAGAAAGTAAGGAATTGAACTAGAAATGGATGACCTTTGGGTCATATGAGATAGAGAAGTGTTATGACTAAAGGGGTAACTTGCTCCCTGTAGAAAGGTTATCAAGCCTTCCTTTTTATACTTGAAACTGAAAAGGATTATATACTGGGAAAACAGATTCAGAAGTTCTGGGAGCCCTGGGAGCTCTTTGGGTAAGAGAAGTGGGAAAACGTCTCTTTAATCTCTTGCAAAGACTTAGATATTTTTCCCCAGACACTTGAAGTTTTGTTATCACGGTATTTCCCAGGTTGTGGTCCTAGATCAGCAACACCTAAAAGTTTGCTGTAACTACAAGCTATCAAGTGTCACTCAAATTGACTAAGAATTTACATTGCAAACTGGTCCCTAGTTGCCTCCTCCACACAGAAAAATTTGAGAAATACTATTTTCTTGTTTTTATACCGAACCATTCACATTAAGAATATTGGGTATGCAGGGAAAGTTCATTGTGATATCGTTACATATGCTTACAGTGCATCTTGATTACATTCTCTCACTTATCCCACTTTCCTAAAAAACATTTCAGAAGCTTTTGTTATTCAGTTTCTATACATGAACCTAAAATACTTTGATCATATTCACTCTTCTCTCATTCATCCTCTCCTCTCCCTCTAGTGTTTGCCCCCTGACAGAACCTACTTCATATTTGCCTTTCATTTTTAAAAGAGTATATTACTGTTCAAAGCAGTGTCAGTATAACATTTCATGAAAGCACATATTATACATTAATCAGATTGCACAAGGCTTTCAGTAGCTGTATATGGTCAACTCACAAATCAAGACGGAAACTTTGTTTCAATTAAATAGATGCTTGGTGAAAAAAATATCATGAATTTGAAAAACCAACCTTCCGAAAATTATTAAGAATTGGAGATGCATTAATATTATGTGCATAATTCACCTGGAAAAAAAGAGTAGAAAATTAGTGCAACAGCTTATTGGAGGGCTTATTGCTAGTTTAGTTTTTTATGACAGAACATTTTAAAGTAAGCTTGTGACTATATATAGATATGTTTAAAAACTTTACATTCCTGATACATGAGTGACAAGCACATATAGTAGATATAGTTTTACAACTACTTTGTGAAAAATGTTATGATTTACAAACTTTTTTCCAACTGTCAGTATGAATATTAGCTATGTCTATCTGTGTTTGAAGTCTTAATAAAATGTATAAACTTATATTTAGAGCAGTTTCAGGTTTAATAAAGATTTTGGCTCATTTCTACTTCTATCCTGACTTCTTGACAATTGTTGACATTTTTAATATTTAGTATTGGAATCATTCATTGCTATTTTCACTTAGTAGTATGCATCTGAGGTTTTTCCATTTTATTGTTGTTATTGCTGTTGCTTTGTTTTAGTTCTTTAGGAATTGATAATTTATTTCTTTTTACTGCTAAATAACTTTCCATTTTGTGGTTGTGTCACAGGTTATCTATCCATCTATTGATATATAGTATAGATTTTCATTTTTTTATAAGAATAAATTAAGTTGCTAAGTTCGAGAAAAATAAATTAAGTTGCTATAAACTTTCATGTGTAGAATTTTGTGTGGACATAAGTTTTCAACTCATTGTGTGAATACCAAGGAGTACAATGATCACATTGTTTGGAAAAAGAATATTCACTTTCTAAAAAACTTTCAAACTGCCTTCTATGGTGGTTGTATCATTTTCATATTCACCAATAAAAGAAGAGGGTCTTTGATTCTATGCATATTCAGCAAATATTGTTGCCACTATTTGAGTTTTTCCCATTGCTTATTATTTTTATCATAATGAAAATAACGAGGTTATAACTTTCATGCATTTTGCAATGATAATTAATACTTTATATAGTATTACCATGTGAGTTTTCTTTGAAAATGACAGAGTATAGTGTAAAATACATACATATATGTAAATATAAATTAAACAATACATCTTATAGGACCATAAGCATCAAAATTTATGATGACATAAGGATTAAAATTTTCAGGAATTGAGACATCTGAAATACATTGTAAACAGGCAGTTTTTATTTTTAGGCATGCTAGAAGTACTCATATTTTACTTGTTGCTTAGTGACAAATCTAGTGCCTTAGAGAAGGACTATGTCTTCATTCCCAAGATTTGGCCTATCTTCTCATTGCACACAGCATTGTGTGCATTCTCTATATTTGGGCGCACAGTGCCACAGTTTCACTTTCTTCCTCTGTAAGGAAGGAATGCTGGTCTAACACCAGCCCCAGGCCAGAAAGTAAAAGAAATGGTTACAAGATGCGCTCCATGTATCAGGCAAGCTCAAGATAAAACACTAACCAATTTACTTTTTCCTACCAAGGAGAGTAGCTAGAAAAAACACAGGTTTTCAAGCTTTCCTCTTTATATGTTCTGCTAATTATTGTAAACCTACTTGCTCTTAATTTTATGTTA